AATAATTTATACAATTATAATTTTATTTTCAAAGGTATTGTTGCTCGGTAATTACCTACCCGGATAGGTTTACCCGGATAATAAATATCTTAACCGGATATCCGTTGTATCCGCGGGTTACCCGGGTAGGGTCCAACCCTTACTAAATCGTTTCAAATTAAGAAATAACGTAGTACAACATTAGGTTGTATACATGTGATGAAAATATTTAGTTTAGCGTAATATGATGACAATATCGAGTCACACAAGCATTTCAAAACCTGTTTCAATCTTGATGAAAAAAAGAAAGAGTTACTGTTACCGGGACAAGAGAAATATTGATCATTTAGATAAATATAATCGATATTTTAGACCGAATCATAGAGAAATCAATATTTTTTGCAATTTTTAAAGTGTAATGTATTAAATTGGTAAGTTGTGCATAATTTTGGCCGGATGATGTAAATTTGGCAAACTAGGGCTATAGATAAGACTGTTCTGAATTTCCGAAACCAAAATTTCATGTAATTTTTGGTATCATGTGAATAATGTAGCCAAAACTTCATTATACCTAGTGTACATTTTAATATAAAATTACAGCTCCAAACGTAGTGATAGATCTCTAATAATACTGGACAAATTCATAATTTAGCTCAATAATCATAGTATAATTTATTTGTGTAATTTTCATTCACAATTTTTCATGATCCATAAAAAACCAATAGCATTTTGATTGGTTACAGATCACGTTGCCTATTAATTCCTATCTGCTATGGGTAACAATTCAAAATCATGTGACGTGGCCGAACTATGGAATTTAATTTCTTAATGTCGGCCAAAACAAATTCCAAAATTTCGGCGTCTCTGATAAGGGCATGTCATAATCGCCCGACACGTGATGGATTCTGAAAGATCAATGTCAAACACTAGTTTAGACCCGTAAAAATTTGTACAGTATATAAAATTAATATAAATTAATGCAAATTTAGATTGATTTTGCATGTGATTCTATAAACTTTATTGTCTAGTGTAATTAAGATTCCGAAAATTTCCGAAAGAAAATGAACATAAGGTCAGAATAAATTTCCGAAAAAGAAATAAAAAGTCACAAATTAATGCATATTTTTGCAATAACGCAAATAAAGATTTCGTATAGCACAAAAAATTTTTACGAGACTCTGACCAGTTTAAAAGTTCGTCAGCTGATCATGTGATCAGATGTGACGTTGAAAAAAAGAAAAAACCGCTTATATCAAAATTTCTATCTGCTACTAGCAAACTGGTTAAAAAATCAAAATTTAACTAAATAATAACTGTCGCAGATTAAAATGAAACTGGGGACCTCTCTTGCTCACCTTTAAAGCTTATAAAACCCACATATACTCATTTATAAAAAACCTAACCCTAAACCCTAACCCTAAAAAATGTCCCCTAAAATTTTTTAGATTGTCCCTAAAAAATATTTTAATCTGATTTCATTTTAATCTGTCACAATTGTCATAATGTTATTTTTAGTACAAATAATAACTTGTTTACTCTTATTTACTATATAATTACTAGGTAATATATGTATTTTAACTAAAAATATATTAAACTACAAAAATATCTAGTAAATAAGTTATTATTTGTACTAGAAATAACTAGTTATTATTTAGTTAAAAATGTGTTTTTTAACCAGTGAAATAGGGTGGGAATCGATCCTATGGTAATCGATTTATTGCCCCTTGCAAAAAGTGACCTTGTGATTTTCGTAGAGAGAAATTTATGAGGTCTAAATTCCCTGTAGATTGTGTTTTTCAGTTACAGCTGTTTTCAAACAATTTCCGTAGATCTACAGTATATATGGGAAATCGAAGAATCGGAAACTATCGTGAATTCCCATATGGGCTCACATTTTGCAAACTGCTATAATCATTAGCAGTTAATCAAAATCTAGAATCGATTTCATTCTTGCCATTGTAGAATTGGAAGAACGGAAAATTTTTGGGCATCCCCACTGGTATGAACAGAGTTTTATCAATTTTAACAGCTGCCCTACCTCGTGAGGTGCATAAGTGTAACCCGGATTTGCATGAGGAGCTGCATCACGAATACAAAGTAAAATTTCCAATTATATATAATATAGTCGGAAATTTACTTTGTATTCGCGATGCAGGAGGATGCTCTCCTCATGCAAATCCGGATTACACATGACGCAAGAAGTAGGGCAACTGTTAAAAATTGATAAAAATCTCTGCTACTAGTATGCATCTGGTATTCCTGAATTAAAGGCATGCCCTCAAAATTTTTTGCTCGATAATTTTTTGAAAAAAGGCATGTCCTGGACATCGTGCTCCAACTCTATTGCCATAAGTGAAAATTGATTCTTCCAGTTTACCTGATCGGCTGATCCCACATTATAACGGTTTGCATAGCAATTCTTGAATGTATGCCAGACTGGTGGCGCATTAATCAGTCACATCGATCTCTTTTATTTAGTAAGTTTGTGAAATTTCTTTTAACCGTCTGTATTTATAAATTTCCTACTTTCTTTTGTGAATTGAAGATATAATGGAAAATTTAATTAATATTAAATTTTGAGGTCCAAATTTATTATTGATTTTCTAAGATAAACTTCGGAAAAAGATTCTTGACTCTCCGATCTATAATAAACAATACGTCTAACTCATTTCCCACTTTCAATCCATTTTAAGCTTTTGTACAATTCAGCGTTACATATTAATAATTTGCAGCGACCGTCAGTAACATTAATAGTACTTATAAGATATTGGTCATGCGATGATCCAATATCAATGTTATCATGCAATTATGATCATTATTTACAAGTCATTATTGGCTAACTGAGTTTTATTGCGGTTTGCAAAAATTATTATCCCGGAACAGCTTTGGATGCACAAAGTGTCTTTTTTGTCAACTTCTAAAATTTATAGTAATGAAAAAATATATATATTCCAATAAAAAAAGTTATACTAAAGTTCTTTAGCAATATGATATAATAATTCTTATAAGATTGAATTCAGTGCAGCTTTTAAATTTTCTTTTTGCTTATTATGCAATAGTAAATTTTACCAGGCCAGAAAAGAAACGAAATTTAATCAAATTCTTTACAACATGAAGAGTGTGCAAAATATATTCCTACAAATATGCTAAATCAAATTATGCTACAAAATTATGAATCTACAACTTTTATTTCTGCAAAAAATGTTAAAGAAATCGGCAATCAGAAATCATCGATTTCTTTTTTTTTTGATCTGCAAATTTCACACTTTTTTGCAAACCACAATAATTCGAAATTGTGACAAGAGTTTGCACGATAACATTATATACAGTGTTGGAAATCTGATTTGAGATTTATGTTCTCATAAGAACAAATTTATTTAATTTAATGTTCTCGGAAATTTATTCTCAACAATAAAATTTTTTATATCCCTATCTTTTTAAATTTCTTATTTCGGAAAATATCGGTCATTTATTCAAATTTTGTCCCAACCTTTCTCGTCTTTTATGTTTATTCATTTCTTTTCGGATGATTTCGGAACTTCGTTCGGTACATAATTATATTCCATCTGGCATTATGTTATTATAGAGAACATATTTTTCGAATATTATGTTCTCAAAATTTTTCATAGAGAACATTTACAGAATATCAAATGTTCTCAAATTTAAAGGTATGTTCTCGTGAAAACATGAGAACATAAGATTTACAACACTGATTATATATATGTGCAGTCAATTAAATGACTCCCAATTAGTAATCAAACCTTTCTTATTTTGAGGTATTTTAACAAACGCGCCGTAACGATGTAATAGTTAACACACTCTATACCGAACTAATATAAATTTTGTTGTTCGTTTATTCAGAGTTCATTATAAAAAGGTTCATTATAAAGAGTGTTGACTATACTCTGAATGTAAGGATTGTATAGTTAACAAAGCTTATAAAATTTAGTTTTAAAAGTGAATCCCTTTAATAATGAGGGAACGCTACTATTCTTTTTTTTATGATTTAGTGTAGATTATTATAAGAAATGCTTCTTCCTTTTAAAGAGTAAACCTTTAACGCATATTATATAAGAACTTCGAAAGTTATCATTATTTTGATCGTTTATAATTTATAAACATTATAAAAATAAAAGAGTACGAATATTCCTTGAATGCAATAACAATAATATTGGGGGCTAAAAGTTATGAAGAAACATACCTTTTGGTATATAAAAAAAGGACACAAAAATAGTTTTAGAAAATGGTGATTCCGTTTTTATTAAAATTTGCTTCGTTAATGTGTCACCAAACCCGGCACACATGCAAAAAAGGTGTGACCTCTACAGATCGCGATTTCATTTAAAAGTCAACAGATCGAAAAGGGAGCAAAGGCAGTAAGGAAGTGGCGGGTTGACATTCACATGGGTGACCAGGATTCCGGCAGGAAAAGGACAGATAAGTAGAATTTAATCAATTGCCTATTTGAGGTATCAGATGCGGATATTTAATGTGATTTTTTTTTGCAGT